TATCCTCCTAATATAAGGAGGATAACCTAACATAGAACAGACCTTTAAAACGACCGGTCTGCTACACAACGCTTAGAAAAAGGTTACTGGTTACTCGAATAGTCAATTATATTATTGCAGTTATACAATGGTAAAATAGTATAATTACCCTGCAGTAAACACGCAATTGTTTATTGTCGTCTTGTTAATAAGCCACTTATGTGTGCTAAAAGATGTAAGCTTTTACAGTTTAACGTGTTGTTCTGCAGTGGTTGTAGAACAGCAGTAGCTTACTACGCAAATGCAAAGAAAAGCAACATTATCTTTCAGTCTATTTGCAAGTATTTGTATCAGAACAGGCTTTTGTGATTGAAGACAGGACTTGATTTTTAGTGATATAATCAGTTTGAAAAATTCCAGTCACATCTGTAACATCCATGCAGTTATCTGATAATGTGATATCAAAATGTTTAGAAAGTTTTTTTTTTTAAATTGCATAGTTCAAAACTGTTGATGCTGAGCAACTCAATATGAACACACCAGACGACCTTCAAAGTATTTATTTTATTATTAAAAATGAAATAAGTACTGTTAAATAGTGTTGAAATGATGACAAAGACTGTTAAATAACCATCTACTCAGTTCTCATTTGCCTGTGATAAGGATTTCAGTGCTACAATGTGTCAGATACATAATTAATGTGGCTATAAACTCTGTTTGCCATTTGGTAGGCTGATGGCAAATACTAAGAAGTGACCACGCACTGAAGCAGCACTCGCACACACTGTGCACTGTTTGTGCATTATGCTTTATGTTGGTTGCATGTAGCGCATTTTAAAAAAAATCTATAAACCAGACGATTACTGCGTGCAAGGTCCTGTGTTGGAATGTTTTTTTTTTTTTACTGCACCCTCATGGTGATTTCCCTGTCCTTGCTTTGTAATTTGGTATGATGACTGGCTGAAGGTATGCATGTTGATCACAGTGATTTCACCTATGGACAGGTGGTGACATTTTCAAATAATCATGAAACTAAAAAAAATAGGTTCCTGATGAGGCCAACAAGGACTATTGATGAGAGCTGAAGAAAGACATTGTACTGAGCCTAAAGTTACATGACACTACAAGCAAACTGTTTCATGTCAGTTCATGTCACTGGACTGTTGCCCTTTCACGCCGCCTATTATGTGGAGGAACTTTGAACATGTTATTCTTCACTGTTTTGTGATAACTCCCTGATCTCAGAGTTAAAGCATAAATTACAGCCACCTCTGTGTACACATGTTGGAGCATCAAAACAGGGGCATGATAAACAGTATTGATGTGACATTGTTTACGTGACCTATCAGGATATGTATTAAAAAACTGGCTGATAACCTCCACAGCAGATAATACCTGTTCTAATCAGCTGACTATGAATATAGATTGTTCTGCAGATTTAAATCTAGTAGGTCAGCCACGTCAGCAGATTACAATGCTTGTGACTAAAACCAGTCCCATGTCTATATGTAATTTGTATAAACATAACATATCAGTTATGACAACAAAGATGTGATCAAATAGTTCAAAGACTATTTACATTCAATCCCATGTTACTTCTAACTTGGGAGATGTGACGTGACTGCCCCTCAGAGCAAATATCACTCATAAGGCAGTGACCTGTGAAACCAACGAGATACCATCTGCTACACTGAGACAATCATTAAGCCTCCAAGCGGAGGATGAAAGTCCTCTGAGAGTGTCACTGACCAATCTATAATCCAAAACTTGGATCTGCTTACATTTACAGCAGCCCAGTCAGCTCTCTCAGTACAGAAGGAGTAGCCTTAATTGTGCAGAGTGTTTCTAACAATGATTTTCTTTAGAGAGAAAAAAGGAGACAGACAGAAAACAAAGCTTAGCCTACCAGGGGAATGATCTGGGCTAATCCAGCTGATCATTCGTTTGTACACAGACAATATATGTGGAAAGCAGCTGGTATGTTGGTCACAGCATGTCATATGAATAGTATCCATGTCAGCGTAGTTACTTCTCTCTGTGACAACAAAGCCTGGGACTGTGACTTAATCTTTCTAATCTAGGTCACTAACACTAACAGGCGTGTTAACAACACACACTTACTGAAAACAGGAGTTGTGCCAGATGTCCTGGAGGACTTTCATATGAAATGAGTCTTGGATTTTTCCACCACAGCCAGCACAGTAAACTGTACCTGCAAAACATCAACAACAATAATAACATACGGGGTACAGCATTTTTATGGTACTAAGACTTAGTACCCTTACCGTACTAAGACGTACTATAAGGACCATAGCTGTAATAGCTATATATACAGCTATATATTCATAGTATCTTACAACTGGACTGTAAAACCGTAATCTATTCATTAGTTTTAAATGGATCGTTACCATTTAGATTGGTTTACATTTTCAAATTCCATAAATGCATGTCTTGTTTTCTCTGCACCTTTTAGTAAACTCTTCTACACAAGCCGTGTAGAAGAGTTTACTAAAGAAGGGTACCGTATCGATTAACTGATTTTAATAATCGGTTGAGTCATAAAAAGCGTTTGCGGTCGCAACCCATTGGGTAACATACGATGACCATACAAACACGATTTGCATTAGCAAAGTTAAAGAAAAAAACGACAAGATAGAATTGTTTTAGTGGACGGAGAGAGTGGATCCTCTTCTATGTATAAGGTTACAACCTGAAGTAAATGCTCACCTTCTGGTTCCTCCATCTAAATCTGACGGTCGTCGATTTTCAGATATTTTTACAAGTGTCTCATATTGAAGCAGGAGAGCTAGGCTGTGTTCACTTCTCTCCGTTGTCCAGTCGGCTACTCCCAGCTGTGAATGTAACCGAAAAGAAATAACAACACACAAATCCCTAAAAACAATCCAGCACGCAAAGCAAAGAGGACAGTCTCCTCTAGAAAGGAGCGCTTTCTCGCCTCTGGCAGCCCAAGTGACGTAATGCACTCAAATTCCTGTACGGAGAGCGGAAGGGCTCAACTGCAAACAGGGGACACGCCACAGTATCGGCTCCCAACCAGCATAAAGGATCAATACCGCCATCTGTCGACCAAATTGTCGCAATGCAATAAAGAACTTGAGTCGTCAAAGGAAGTTCCCCTCCGTGAATCTCTCCACTGAATGGTTTCGTTCAGTTAGAAAGAGCAGTATTGTTTAGGTTTTTCTCAAATTATGTGCTTTTGTCGTCCACTATCTTTCAATCCCTAGCAAATTTAAGGTGAGTTTGCATCCCCCCCCCCCCCTAAAGATGCCCAGAAATATCCAGGTTGTGAATTTGGTTCAGTAGACACTCTTGTTATTTATTTATTTATTTTATCTTTATATGTGACCCTATGATGGACCCGTGGACTGGCCAGGGTGAACTGGGTCCTTGCCAGATTATCCATGGGAGTGGCTTTAATTATCTCTGATAATGATAAAAGAAAGATGCAAAAGATGAGGGCACATTGTTGGTCTGGTTCAAGGCCTTTCGGTGCAGTGGTTCTGAAGTTTTTACCACAACTAGAAATTCAAAGAAATACTGCCAGTGTAACACATGGGAGCCCAGACATACCCTCTTCAGTTACAGTAAGCAAAGTACACAGAAAGAATGCAATATTAACCAATTTTAACCCATTTAAGACCTAAAACACAAATTCAATTTTGAAACCGCAAATGTATACATACATTGGTGCTTGTGTGGGCGTTTACACTGCTGAAGTAAACTAATGGAAAAATACTGAGAAGTTAAACCAATTGCTGGCACAGGGAATGATATGACCCACTAAATAAAATTGTATTATTCATATTGTGGGAGCAGTCAGGACAATTGCGTTAGGCAATACTAATGCAAAGAAACGTGAGCATTTGTATTTGTGTGTACACTGTTTCCCAGAAGGAAAGAAGAAGAAAAAAAGAAAACGTTCCTCGAAGCTTCATTACATGCATGGAGAACTGTCGTCTCTAGCGTCGCTTAGATCCGGAAAACCACAGAAACAAAGCTGCAGAATCTGTAGAGCGCATTGCAGACGTCACAGGGTCTGCCTTCAAAATAAAAGCATGACTATGCCACAAGTAAATAGTGTCAGTGTCACACCGGACCAGAGTCCACTGACTTTCAAATGCTATGTCATGTGATCCGCGTTTATTGACTTTCAGAAGTATGGTTGTGTTCCGTTGTTCTTAAAACAATATAAATAGTTGCAATTTAATGTACATTCTTGTGTTTTATATGTTCCATTAGATGTGTTGCATTTCAATAAATACAGTTGTTGGCTTTGTTGGGTTAGATCAATAATGGGTAAACTAAGGACTGGGAGCTTTTTAATTTGGCCTGCCATACTTTTACAAATTATATAATTTGTTTATATTATCATTATACATTATACGCCTTTTCCCTGCGATACGCATGTTTTCCAAATAGATGGCGTAGAAAGTGATAAAAGCATTTTAGCATTTTAGCCTTTATGCATGACTTTTACATGTCTTTTATCTTAGTTCACATAAATGCTCCATCTATCTGCTCCTGACCCGGCCCCCTGTTCAATTTTAGGACAATTGTGGCCCACGTTGTTTTCGTGTTTGGTGGGTCATAGCCAACTGTATGTCCCCAAAGAATAGTTTTGGAGTCCAAATAATTACAATTAGTGCTTTGCAGAATCTTAAATTTCAAGAGTTGAGACTTTTTTGAGATTGACCCTGATTAACTTGAGTTTAAGTCAGGTCCAAAGTCCTTGTCTAGAGTACTTCTAACCCTGATTTTAAAGATGAGGATTGGTTGCAGACAGAGGCCTGTGGAACCTTTATGAGTATATAAAGCTTAGGTTAAGTGTTGTGTTAATTGTCCTGCCAATGTTCAATTTGACAGTTATGTTGCATCCACACTTCAAAAGATCCAGAATGCACTTATCAGCTGGCTGATGTCCAGCAGAGAGTTTGCTAACCGTCTGTTGGTGCATGATAAGGTGTGATAAACCTAGACGCTGGACAAGAAAGTTGAAATTGTCAGTAGGGCATTTCATGGCAGTGCAATAATTGTTAAAGGCCCAACAAGTTGCAGATAGCATAATGAAAATATCTCCAAGCAGCTAGTAAATACACAAAGTGAGAATAATATATATTTCACATGATGCAACATCTTTTTAGTCAACATTGTACTTTTATTCTGAACCATGTCAACGTGTACACATGACTTGCCCTTTCCCCTGCCTTTGTCAAGTGCAAAAACATAGGGTGCTCACCTACTTTGTACACCACCAAAGGTAAACAATGTCAACTGAAGTCCGATCTTTATTCATACCCATTGTTCACTTACGTTTGACACCCTGTGGTGTATTACCAGGTGAATTATATATTTAAAAAAAAAACAATAATTTGAAAAATATGTCTTTATGAATTCAGTGATATCTAGCCCAATTTTCCCGTAATTTCTTTCACCAGGAAAACAAGTGAAACACTAATTGTATTGTATTGTACTGTTTTTCTCCTTAAAGTAACAGTTCTAATATCTGCGCTCCGGTTTTGTCTTGGCTGACGGATCGCACTCACTGAAATGTCTCTTTAAAACCCAGCTCTTATTTTGTTAGATTTGCATCTCGGCGCCCCTGCTGACTTTGCTGCTACTGTCGGCGAAATGGAGAAGGATACATAACAGTTATGAGACACTAAAGTAGTAGGGTATAATTAAGTAACTCTGGCTCAGTACGTCGCCCTTTGTACTGAGAATTATCCCGACGTAAAACAGTCCGACATTCGTTTTGCCGTATAACAGGTTTTTATACAGTTGGTCATACGCGACACGAACATCCCTCTTCCCACCGCAGTGTAGAAATCTAAATAGTCGCGTTTTTACTCTAATCCATCGCCAGGAGGCATGGATAACGGAGCAGGTTCGAATTCAAAGATCCAAGCCGATGAAAGAATGTGTTCTCTCAAAGTGGCCACGAACAAGGCGATGGATGAAAGACCCACGTGGAGTGGACGGCTTGAGTTTATCCTGGCATCCGTAGGCTACGCTGTGGGACTAGGCAACGTCTGGAGGTTTCCCTACCTGTGCTACAGCAGTGGTGGAGGTAAGACAGTTTTAATGTGACTAGTCTCTGGTGGTTAGCTAGTGTAACTCAGTGACCACACCGTGGTCAGCTACTTGAGAGAAGGGGCAAGGAAAGTTGGCAATCTGTAACAATGTTTTACAACATTCTGTGACGTCTTAGATCTACAGCGACATGTCGATTAATCAAAGACTAGTCGATAATCGTCATTTTGTCAGGCACAAATCAACATCTGAGTTTGTTTTTTAAAGTAAAAGTCGCACGTGCTGAGCTAACTACATTTTAAAACGGGTTACAAGGTTTTAGTGTTTAGTGGGCTACACGCACGCACACTATACACAACTACAACAAATGACTAGAAAGTAATACTAGAAAAATGTTTAGTGAATATAAACTACTATCAAGAATCTCACAGAAATGTTGCTTCAGATCCCCTCCAACGCTTTCTCTTTCCCCCTCTCTGTAAACCAACGAATGCTGTTGTACGTTTTACCTAAAAACTCCACCCTTCCATAGAAAAGCTAGTTAGTTATAACCAATGTTTTGCACTGATTGTACTGATGGAGCTTCAATCATTTCTCATTTAAAAGAAACAAATTGCTTGTACTGATGGAGCTTCAATCATTTTCTCATTTAAAAGAAACAAAGTGCTTCATTTGTTTAGAAATAACATATCAACAAATATAAACTTAACAATGCCCCTTTGTTTAATGTTTTTCAACACATACCTTTATGGTTTCATCATCAACAACAGTATGAGTGTAATCACAGGAAAACTTCTACCATTATGTCATGCAGATATTTTTAAAACTAACATTGTCACAGTGACAAAAAGTAAAAAAAAAAAAAAAAAAAAAAAAAAAAAAAAGTGTCCCTTTTCATCTAGGGTTGGACCATGGCACTGAGAAACTATTTTACTTTCATGTCTACTTTATCAGTCCTGCTTGAACTGACCCCAAATATAACATTTACATTTACATTTTTAAAAAAAGTCCCCTGGTTCATTTTGACCCCAGAAGACCAAATTATCCAAGAGGCAATTGGGAGGACATAAATGGGGTTAATAGATCCACGAATGTTGCTTAGTCTAGATTCCATTAACTCTGTTAACTCTCAGGCAAAATTTACTGTGTTGTAAGAATGACTCAGCAAGATTACACACACTAATGTGTGTGCTGTAAAGGCCAGGCAGTGATGAAGAAAAGACAGTTTCTACTTCAGGATAAATGAATGACACAGAATGAATACAGCCTAGAGCTGGTGTTTTTCCAGATCCAAGCACACTTATAGATCTGAAGAGACATAGTCAGTCCTGTCTACACCATAGTCTGTTAACTGAGTGGGGGGGTTCCCCCCAATTCCATGAAGTGGTGCAATATTACACATTATTACCTTTACTTGGATGATAGTTAGGTAAACATTGGGTTAATTCCTGCATAACAACAATGGATGCTGTCAACATATACTGTACCTCATGCGCTGTGGCAGGAGTCAAATAACACGTAGCTGAGAGGTGCATAACGACATTGTTTTCCCAACCCAGGAGCCTTCATCATCCCTTATCTCACCATGGTGCTTCTGTGTGGCATCCCTCTGCTCTTCATGGAGTTTGCCATTGGCCAGTACACTCATGTAGGCCCAGTGCATGCTTTTGCCAAAATCTGCCCCTTATTAAAAGGTGAGTGATCAATCACGCCAGTTTCACATATAAGGCAAAAAGGACCTGATATAAATACTGTGTTTGCATGAATGGGCTAGAACTACACCAAACCTTCAATAAAAGATCTGTGTTGATCCACTGGTTGATTTATACATTTGTATCCCTGTAGTCTTTAGGAATACTGTAATTTAGGTAATAGAGGAAGAGTAATAGTGATCTATTGCTTATGAATTATTTTAACCATTAAAGTGATTTAAAGTTTTTAAATTTTCTTCCTTTCCACTCTTGAACCTCTTCTTTGCTAATGCATGCCTTTAGCATTCATGCCTAAAACCTGAATAAATGAATTACACAAATTCTAAAAATTGGAATTAAGTTATTTTGATAACTTATAACATAGCCTTGATGAAATATTTTAACCCTGTGGCATTATTAATTTTCTGCATTCCCTTTCATAATATCTCACTATGTTTCTCTTTGTTGCACACTTGATTAAAAGTAGCATTTTTTTTCTAGATTTCTTAGGCAAAATCTTTAGAAATTAATAGTTGTTTTCAACTTTTGATTTTTATTGATTTCCATTTTTTACATTTTAGTGAAAAATGCACTGGTAGAGGTGGGTAAAAGGGTAAAAGTTGTAGATTTTGAGTGCAAATAACATGGTGCAAAGAGAGAAATCCAGGTCTTTTTTTAATGAGTGGAGGACCATAATAAGGACGATAATAACCTGTGAGCTACACAGGGTGTAATGTTTATATTAGTGGAGAGGTGTGCAGTCAGTTGGCAAAGATGGGGGTGGGGGATTCATCACAGATCAACTCTGAGGCTCTTCTCGTTTGCAGATGTTTACATCGACCATAATATGCATCGACTTGTTGGTAAAAGGTCATAGAAAATCAATAATTTCCAGAGAGTGGGTGCTCATGGGCTCGTGGGCGTATTAGTAATTTTGTTGTTGAAGATATTATAAAGTTGTCAATCCTAATTTTAATCAAGACCACATACCTGCCCCTACGTTGAGCTCATGTTTTGAAACTCGTTGGTCTTTGCAATGGCTTCTTAGAATCCTGGTTGTCTCTCATCTGCCAGTCATGTGGTGCTTGACATGAATTGGCTTTCAGCTGGAAGTTTGGATGATCCTTTTAATCTCATTAATCTGATTATGTGCCTTTGTGGACTAAGATGACTTATTGTTCAGTGATGCTTGAGATATGCTTAGAATTTTCTGTCTACTTGAGCCTATAGACCTCAGCTAAATTGTTTCAAATAGACAGCTGCTGAAAAAGTACTAGGGAAAGTCAGTGCAATAGTCATTTGACCAGTTGGGCAGGATCCTATGAGCACATTGTTCACAAAATGTTTTTTTCCAGAGTACTCTACTCTACAGAGACTTCTCTTTGCTTCTGCTGCTCACGTCATAGCAGACATTTCCATGTGGGAAATACTACATATAAATGTTGACTTTCTGCTGATACTCTGCTCTAAACCTTGCCAGCTCTCATTTGCCCTTGATTTAGTTGTATTTGGATGATTAAATGTTGCCTAAACATCTGTGGCCAATGATTACAACAGCCTACTCTAAACAAAACCTACAAAAACCCTTGAAACAGTTGTGCTGGACATTTTATTCTCTTTTCTAAAGTTCTGCCTGACAGAAATGCGAGGTGTCTGTAGCTTTAGTATTTGATCCTGTGCTGTCATTTGTTTGTACTGTGGGTGCTTCTTTGTACTGTTTGTAATAAAAGCTGTTTTATCTCTGAGATTTATTTATCTAACTGCTGATGTTGATGGATGAGACCTTGTTAAGCAAAGGACATGTTACAAAGTCCTTTGCCATGAATGGTGATAAATCGTCTTTAAACTAAGTTATATCAAGGCTATCATTGTTTCCATGACTTGACAGTCGTCTATTGGAAGAATGAAAAAAATTATAACATTTCACTAACAAACCTTTGTTCAAGCAAGGCCCCAGCCATCATTAACCATTGAACCCATGTTGGTGTGAAACTACAGTGCGGCTTGTCTTGTTCTAACTGAAATAACAATGCGGTTTGTCTTGTTCTAACTGACCATTTTTCTCCATAGCTTTCTCCTAAATACAGAGATAATCTACCCGGTCAAAATATCGGTCCATCCTTCTCTTGATTTTTCCCTCATTTCTTCCTGGTTATTGCTCTGTGCTTAACAAGGGCCAAAAACAGGTAGTTTATTTTCCTCTTTTGAATATTTTCCCAGTGCAACTCATGTGCAGTTTACTGCGATACATATGTGATCAGTGATGTAATAAATAATAACCACTGTCTAGTTAACTGACAAGTTATGAAATCCAGATGTTTGGTTCACTGCAGCAGATACAAAATGGTTTTGACAAGTCACATTTCTTCAGCTTTTTAAAGCGTTTTGTTTAAGTTAGGTGTCAGGATATTCATGATATTTAAAGAAGCTTCTAACACACACTGTCCTCTTTGTGTGAATCCTATTATTTATTTTAATTATTTACTCCTCACTTCAGGTACAACCTGTGTTGAACTGTGTGAGCTGCAAATACAGCCTGGAATCAACATCAGCATGTTTGGCCACACAAAAAAGGCTTGGTTCTGATGCAACTGCAAGTGTTTAAATATTAGTAAATCAAACATAGTGAATTTAAAAAAAGACGACATTTCTTATAAAAATAGAAAAGCAAAAAAAAAAAAATACAATTCTCAACATAAATTCTTTTTTTTAGTTTTTGTTCAAATTTTGAATTGATGGCTAATAAAATTGGCACACATTTGTAGGAATATTCCAAAAGAGAGTGTAATATGAATGTTCTCGTCTCAGTCATTAATATAGGCCAGGACCAATTAACAGTAATATTCATTATTCATGCCATTATCCGAGTTTGTAGCTATTTTAGATGTAGGACAGCACTTGCTTTTTACTCACATAAAACTATTCTCTGTGTTAAAACTTTTTAAGCGTCATTAATACAATTTCAACAATAGTCAATCAATAAATAGATTAACATGTATTTTGTAATCTTTCACAAACTGAGAATGACCAAACTGCTTCATAATAAATGTATATAATATTATTATTATTATTAAAAGTTTATAATAATATTTTAAAACTTATTATAAGTAAACGTGTTCAGTTTCTGTTTTCACCAATGCCATGTGCATCCTGAAGTCAATTCTCTGTAAGTAATACATTTGTGTTTTCTGTCGCAAAGCTTCAACAGTTGTGTAAAATGAATTCTCTGAGAAACTGAACTTTTCATAAGCTATCACTAGACCCGCTGTGCACAGATCACATGGAACAATAGAGCAGTCGATCATGGAAGGGAGATGGTAGGAGCGAGTAGGAACGGGACAAATAACTTATAACAAAGGGAAGAGAGCTTAACATGTGTGGCAGCCAGCGATTTTAGCTAATCCTGGAGCTCAGGGTGCGTTTCCTTTGTCACCTTCATTGTGTTGACACAGACCTGTTTTTCAATCCCTCCTCATCTATTTTATTAATTCAACACAGCGATAGGTTGTTTTTCCCTGCAAAAAAACTTCCTTTTGTAGTAGTAAGGTAAGGTCCTCCATCTTACCTTACTACTACAAAGGAAGTTTTTGATCAATCCACCAATACTTACAGTATTTGCAGTAGCAGTAGTAGTAGTATTTATTGTAATTTGTTTTACAGAAATGATTAACGTTTGTAGGGTTTTCAACACCTAAAAGAGATAAATGATTATTTTTGAATCTGAATCTGACCACTACCCTTTGTTAGAGGGAAACTGAAGGTGAGGAATTGCAAAATCTAAAATGATCTTCTTTTTCTTTCGGCTTTGTCCCTTTTTCAGGGGTTGCCACAGCAAATCATTGATTTCCATATTGCCCTGTTCTCTGCATCTTCTAGTCTGACTCCAACTATCTGGATGTCCTCCCTCACTGCATCCATATATCTCCTCTTTGGTCTTCCTCTTTGTCTCCTACCTGGTAGCTCCATCTCTAACATTCTTCTACCAATGTATCCACTGTCCCTCCTCTGCACATGTCCAAACCATCTCAATCTGGCTTCTCTAGCTTTTTCTCCAAACCTTCCTGTCTGTGTTGTCCCTCTAATGACAGCATTCCTGATCCTGTCCATTCTTGTCACTCCTAAAGAGAATCTTTGCCCCCTCCAGCTCCGCCTCCTGTCTTCTGCCTATTGCTAGTGTCTCTAAACCATACATCATGGCTGGTCTCACCACCGTCCTGTAAACCTTTCCCTTCACCTTAGCTGACACTCTTCTATCACAGATCACTCCTGACACTTTTCTCCAGCTGTTCCATCCTGCCTGCACTCTATTCTTCACCTCTATTCCACAGTCTCCTCTGCTCTGAAATCTAAAATGATGTAAAAATAAAAACAAAACAGTTAAATAAATAAATAGAGTTAAATAAAAACATACGTAAACATTCATTACCAAGTGCAGGTAAAGTATAGTAGTAATAACATAAATGTCAGGTGTACATAAGACAAAAAAATTTAGTTTCTTTGCCTTACAGCAGTGTCAATTCTTTAAATTCCTAGAAAAGATAAAAGGTGGAGATGAAATTAAGGTGCATATTTTTAGCTGAACCAACCAAGTCACACACATATTCCAACCTGAAGTCTGACACATTGATAAAACAGCAGGTGCAAAAGGCTTTGCTCCCATGTTTAGGCGAAGGACCTGTTCTGCATCAGCCAAAAGACACAGTGGAATTTATAATCCATCACTCCAGGAATTGATTTTATCTCTATTGGAGTTGTCTTTCAGGATGTCCCACAATGCCTCTATCTCTGACACTGACTATTTCTGTGATATGTCTGTGATCAGAGTTTCATTTCCTTAGCCACATGATTGACATCCACTGTATACTTCAATCATAGACAAATGCAAATCTAAGCTCTATTTTAAACTAATTCTATTCTAAACTCTATACAATTTTTTAGGAACAGCCCTATGTTCATTCCCAAAACTCTGTTTGCAGTCAGATATCTCTTACCACCACACTGATGGTCCTAGCTGTTTGCCACACTGTCCAGTCTTGAGGGATCAACTAATGTCAACTAGTGATTCACTTATCGTAAAATATTAAAATTCAGAGTGAGTGGAAGCCTTTTTTCTCTTGTTGTTTCTATATGTCACTATTGTTTATGTGGTCTACAGCATCGACTTATGGAGTTTGCTATTAATATCTTTGAATTGCTGTCAAGCCCTTCATGGCATGAGTCTAACCTTTTGCTTTCTTAACCTCCTGCTGTGTCACTTCACAGGTGTGGGTATGGCCACAGTGGTTCTTTCCTTTGTGTTCTCTACATACTACAATGTCCTCATGAGCTGGGCTCTTTATTATTTCTTCAACTCTTTCGGAGCGACGCTTCCATGGACTTCCTGCAACAACACCTGGAATGTTGTTGGAAACTGTTCCAGTGGTTTTCCTGGAAACGCCACCCGCATGCAGTCTGCCAGCCAGCAGTTTTTTGAGTGAGAAAACCTTTTTGTAATACATTCTTATATGCAATGTAATATCTGATCAAACGTTTAGAGTTCTAGGGGTTCCTGAACATGGGTGATTCTTGAGAATATATGATGTGACACTGTTAATGCCAATCATGTTCTGCAGACTCAACAATACACTAGGTTGACTGCACAGGTGTTTTGGGTTCATGCAGATTTAAATGTGCCAGTACAACATTATTGTTTGATATAAATGTATAATTCTGTAACTCATTCAAAATAGTTTCCTCTAGTAAAACACTAATATTTTCCATCAAGTGGAAGAAATGTACTTTTTAACAGAAATGTCAGAGCCAGGGGGTTCCTAACGTCAGAAGAACAGTTAAAAAAACAAAATCAGTTGTTATCGGCATCACACTTGCAGTTAAAAACAAGTTTGCCAAAGTTGTTTTGAGGAGACTTAAACCTTTCTGTATATGCATACAGTCACAAGCTCCTGGAGAAAACGGCTTCCATTGAAGAAGCAGGTGGCATTCGCTGGGAACTCTTTGGTTATCTCCTTGCTGCTTGGGTCATCGTATATTTATGCATATTTAAAGGAGTCAAATCCACTGGCAAGGTAAGATTCGTATATTTGAGTTATGATAGTTATTGTGATGATTTGTTTTTGTGCTGGCGCCGTTGTTTAAAACGTCTGGTGTTCTCAGTTAAAAGGAAGGTCATCATGTTGTATAGTCTGAGATTCTGCTCAAACAGTTCAGATTAGATGTAAACGAAAAAACAAAATAGCCTTCAGTCACAGTACACGACGACCAAATGTTCAAGGTGTGGCTGTATAATATGTCATAATGACTACTTGTCATGCACACAACCAAATGTGACCTCTGCTTTTAACCCATCACCAAAGTGAACAGTGGGCAGCTTTAAGAGCCTGGGAAGCAGTGAGTGGAGACGGTGTCATGCTCAGATCACCTCAGTGGTAACCTGGCAGCTGGTGGACTGGAACCTGAAGCCTTCCAGACCCAAGTCTGCTTCCTTAACCACTAAGTCACCACTGCCCCTTTGTGATTAAATGTTTGAACAACTTAGCACTTTTTTCAGTGGTTTATGTGCTGATCTGTTAAAACAACACAAGTGAAGGGTCAAGAATGGTTGAATGGGAAATGTGTTACTGTCCACTGTAGTTCATGGTTAGTTTTATGTAATATGGTGTAATAATGCTGGGCGAGGGACAGAGGAATAGATATTACTTATTCTACTCTACTAAAAGAGTGAATAATGAGTGAATACTTACCAGTTTTAATTTCTTCTTTATTTTTTAAATTGTGTAAAAACTGGTAATTATTAAAAATGTCTTTCAAAAGAATAAATAAAAATATATAAAAGAAGATAAAACATTCTCACAAAGTACATACCCTCAGACACTATTTAGATCTACATAACTGTACATTCTATGTAGAAGGCATTGTCAAGCTGGGCAGTATTGACAAACATTCACCTATTCTAAGAAGCTACATTTTGAAATTATACTTTTGTGTATGTTTCTTGACATTTTTCCATATCAATAATTGTATGATTTGGATAAGTCACAAATAATTGCTAATTATTTCAATCCCAATTAATAAAGATCAATGGTGATTAACACTGGCACTCTGTGGTTAATCAGATTAATAACAAATTATCATTTGGCAGTCCTAACAAAAACATTGTGGCAGGCACTGCACTGGACGCCTATCACCCTAAAGGACTGTGGGCTGGGGGTGTGGTTTTCTGTGTGGTGCGCTTAGTCAGTAGTGAGTTGTTTTGTACAATAGTGGAATAAAGTGTTCAAACCCACTTTCGATTCTTGCACTCTCGTTGTCCTGCTACAACAAACATTTATTCCTGTGTCATACATGCAGTGACATTTACGGCTGTTATTTTACTCTTCTCCACACAGGTTGTTTATTTCACTGCAATATTCCCCTACTTCATCCTGTTTGCCCTGCTCATCAATAATATACAGCTGCCTGGAGCCAAAAATGGCATTCTCTTCTTTGCCACCCCTGTTTGGAACAAACTGTTCGAGGTGAAGGTGAGTCTTGTAATGTCTCTAACGGAATGCATGCAGCATGTATTTAGTCAAGTGAGTGACTTACATATGAAAAGGTAAGTTAAACTTAAGACCTACACATATTGTAGGACATGGGAACACAATGTACACACCTGAAACTGCTTGTAAATAATTGACCTTGCAGAACAACCCCATCAATAGGCATCCTGACAAAAAGAAAATAACAATTTGCGGCAGACTGTCTCATAAATATTGGTTAGGGTGTGTAACAGTTGGAAACCAGCAACAGCAAATATAAACACCTCCAAAACAAACATTTTAAGGTCTTGGTTATAGTAACTGAATATTTTATTTTAAAGAAAAAACTCTTAACAATAATGTGTTTTACTGCTGCAGTGGAATTTATACTGTGGCACAAAGTTTAAGCACCTTGTGAAAAAAGTCAAACCCATAGTACAAAATGTGGCCTTTGATGACTATTTATGTAGACCAGTGGTTCTTAACCTGGGTCCGACCAAACCCCAGCGGTTCGGTGAGTCAGTCTCAGGGGTTCGGTGGAGGACAAGAACCACACCCGACTCATATGATTCGTGATGACACGACCCCGCTTGGCCATCACAGAAGGGTTTGGTGAATGCGCATATGAAACTGGTAGGGTTCAATACCTCCATCAAGGTTAAGAACCACTGATGTAGAGTCTGTAAACTCCATCAAAATGATCTTGACTTAAATGTTTTTTTTTTAATGCATCTTAATTGCAGGTCTGGGTCAATGCAGCTGCCCAGGTGTTTAACTCTGTTGGAATTGCCTTCGGTTCCATGATGTCCATGGCGAGTTACAACAAATTCAACAACAACATTCTTAGGTGAGATGGTCACACTAATGTTAAGATGACAGCCTATAGGAATCAGCTTTGAGAGCCACGGGAGCAATTTCACACAATTGTTTTGAAGTCAACATCTCCACAGTGTTTCCCAAAGGGAAAGTACCCACAGTTCATTGCATATGTGCAGCAAATATCTTATCTTGGTAACACTGTAGAAAAGGGTTGTTGTCATCATTTAAAAATGGTGCGGTGTCATTCTGAATATATTTTTCCTCTGTGAATAATCTGTTTTTGTCCTTTAAATTTTTCTAGGGATACATTGATTGTGTCATTTGTCAACTCATTCACCAGTATCCTGGCCGGCTTTGTGATTTTCTCTGCTATTGGTTACATGGCTCATATACACAACCTCCCAGTAGACAACATCGCTACAGACGGTAGGCAACACACCTTTAAATACATTACATAGATCTATCAGATGAAAGTACCTGATATAGATGATTAAAAACATGAGTCATTTTACTTAAATCTTGTACATACCTCATCATGTAACTCTTAAATTTGTTTTTTCTTATTTCTTAGTTCATACAGTATGCTTATCTAATTTCGAGATAATATTTTGGCTGCAGCCTCATGTTGAATGACAACAATTCTGATAAAAAGTTCACTTAATGTCAGATTTAGTAAAATTACCTTTTTTTTCAGTCACGTCTCAGACTAATTACTGTTTAAACCCACCTTTGTTTAGACATGTCAGTCTCAGGTTTCCTTTTCCTGACCTGCTGTTACTCTGGTGTCAAGTGTGTCACCCTTGCAGGTCATCACCATAGAATAGTATGTTCATGTAATGAAAACTAACAACTCTAGGTGTCAGGTGGCTACACAGAGTGTAGAGAGAAAATCACTGTAGCATGAAATAAATGGTTGTGATGTTCTTTGTGTTGGGGATATCAGAGGAAGGCGGGGCAGAAAATGAAATCACAAACAAGCTCTAAACAGTTGGCCTTCACAGTTTTCTGATTGGGCAGTTGTAGAGTGCAAAATGTTAGTGTAAACTATTTATTGTTTTAAATTTATGTGATAATATACTCTACTGTTACAGTATTTTGTTACAATATACTGTTACTGTGTATGATATTTGCTGTAAACACTGACAGGCTTTACTCCGTCACGATTTTAGGACCTGGATTGGTATTTGTGGTATACCCTGAAATCCTGTCCACTATGCCTGTGTCCTATTTGTGGGCTCCTCTCTTCTTCTTCATGTTGCTGTGCTTGGGCCTCGACAGCCAGGTAACCAGTTTCCATCCTTTGTAATGTAGTTGAAGCTCCTCCCTCTCTGCACATTTTGATTGACAATGTGTCTGCAGGAACCACATCTTGAATCAGTCTTTGTCGTAATAGTAGGATACACAAACATGATGCAAGTGCAGTAGGCATAGACGTCTATTTAGAAATGTGTATTTAGACATGTGTATTTTAACCCCCAGTTGACAGTATTGCGCTGGTTATTGTGGTTAAAGAAAGAGGTGACTTGTAGGAAGCTGGTTACAAAATTGTACAGATTTTTGTCAACTTCCTCATTATGAAATTTGGTGGAAAATTTTATTTTTAGATTTTATTTAATAGTAATTGTAAACAGTAATTGAATAACAGCTGATGAATCTTATAAAGTCAATGATAACATGACTAACCAGGAAGTCCCATTGACCAGAAAAAGAAACGACTGTATCAGTTCTTTTCACACGTGATTTATATGTGATATATATGTGTATATATTTCTACATCTGTGCTGCAGTTCGCCACAGTGGAGGTGGCCGTGGCCTTCATCAGAGACGAGTACGGTGCCAAGCTGCTGCCTTATATAAAAAGAGGGGAGTTGCTGACTCTAGCTGTGTGCGTCATCTGCTTTGTCTTAGGAATTCCTCATATTACAAAGGTACAGTCAGAAGAAGCAGGGGTATTTTCTGATATCTGGTAGACTACAGGAGGCAGCAGTTGCATCACTGCTGAGAGTTATTTTTTGTTCACTCACTCTCTCTCTTTCTTTTAACCACACAGGGGGGAATCTACGTGTTTCAGCTGATGGATCACTATACTGCTGTGGTTTCTCTCATGTGTCTGGCCTTTTTCGAAGTCATGGCTGTCTGTTGGATATTTGGTATGCTCAAAGTTCCTCATTTCAATCCAAATGTTTTCTTTAAATGTGAAATGATATTAAACATCCTCATTTCCTGCGGTTGGTTCTTTATAAATTGTATTTGTTTCCTAAACAAATTTAAAATGTTTAATGTGGTAATCAGTGTTTTGTGCTAGTTCTGAATATTAAACCGGTTCATTCCCTCACTGTACTCTTCCCTGAAGGCGTTTCTCGTGTCTCACTAATGATCAAGAAGATGCTGGGAAAAACCCCAAGCCTCTACTTCCGCATCTGTTGGATGGTTCTTAGTCCAGTGTTGGTGACGGTGAGCTTTCGTTTTTTTTTTTGGTTTTAAAAAATATATATAATTATATTCCTGTTATACTTTAAAAAGTAAACAAACAATGACCTTTTCCTCTTCCTGTATCATAGTGCATACTTATCTCCAGCATTGTCCAGTACACTCCTGTGCGTTATGGGACGTACACCTACCCAGTGTGGGCCGACGGGTTGGGTTGGACCATTTCACTATTATCTGTTATGTGGATCCCACTTGGTGCCTTACAGGAGATCTGGAGGAACAAAGGCTCTCTGCTGGAGGTGAGGACAGAGTGAATTAGCAGACTGAAAATTTGTACTAGGGATGCCTGATATTAGCATAATTATGTTATATCTGTAAGAATTGTTAATGGTCTTTCCTCTGATAATGAAAACCGATAACAAAAGTCCAGGTTTAACCTAATGGTGTGCCCTAAAAATAGTTTTGGGGGAAAAACGGATGTATATGAAAGTTAAAGTCACTAGATGGCAGTATTGCAACTTACTTTATTAATCTATTTTAATAATCAGGTGATTGTATGCATAATGCTGGAGCCAGCAACTCATACAGTGGATTGTACAGATAAAAAAATTAATTTTACCATGCCCTTAATAGAATTTAAATTTCGGTTCGAAAGAACTTCTGTTCCCTGTGTGTGGGGTGGGGTCAGAGAGGGGGGGTATAATTAAGAAACACAGCTTTAACCTTTGACCTTAGTGAGCAGCTGGCACTTAATTTCCCAAACCACTTGGCCACCACTGCTCTGCTCTATGAAATAAAACTTATTATTATTATTATTATTATTATTATTATTATTATTATTATATCAGTATCAGTTGATATCAGAATTGTAAATTGACTACGTGGCATATTGGATATTGGCATAAAGTGAATATCTGACAACCCTAATTTGTACTTCATGGTCCTTACATTATCCATCCATGCGTGTTTTAGTTGACAGCTTCCCATCTCATCCCAGTTGTCTGTACAAATCCAGTCAGAGTGCCAATGAATTGCGTTCACTGAATCAACATGAATGTAATTCCATATCTCGGTCCAAGCATCTTTCTCACAAAATCAGTTAATATTTGTCTAGCTTTAATGAATGCATATATTTAGCTTTCACAGTAAAGATGAAATGCACTTGACAAAAGTGTCTGACCTGTGGTTAATCACAGCAATTCAGACCAAGGTGATGCTGCCCTGAGCCCTAAAGCCCCAGTGATCTCTCACCGTACTACTGTGACAACGTTGCGTCAAAAAATCTAACACAACCGATAATTAAAAAAAACAAAAACCTTTGCTGTCAGAATGTTTTCCTCACCTCTGATGGGTGTCTATTATAAACGTCTCTCCTCTTTAAACGAGTCTACTCTAACCCACAGAGACTGAAAGCAGCCATTACTCCTTCTGCAGACCTGTGTGCTGAGGATCCTGTGTCAGAAAAAGAGAATCCCGAGCTGCAGCTCTCTGCAACCTTGTTAAGTTCAGTGGCCTGAAGTTTAACACTGTAAAAACTTGACAGAAGTCATAGTTTGACTATTCATTGTCGATTGTTAATATTTTAGTATTCTCCCTGAATACTAAATACTAAAGGTCCCTGGTTGTGGTCATTTAGCTTGTTTCATTGTCTGTCCTGCTAAATGATGATTTACTCTGTGTTAAATCAACTGTAGTGATCTACTGTAACACATAGGACAGAGTGCACATTCAAAGCCACCAAAGTTTTTTTTTATGTTCTTTTATTAAATTATTTAGTTTATATGTGTTTTTTTTCTTTTTAGATGTAAGTGAATGAGGTAAACATTTATAAACTTTTACAAAAGGGTGAAGAAAATGCAGATGTAGAAAAAAAATTAAATAAACCACGTGAGACCATGAAAAATCTCAAACCAAAGAGAAAATGTTCTGATGATCCATGTTTTGGGAAGTGTAAAGAATTGAAACAAAGGGCAAAACCAAGACCAGTGCACAGGGAGTCCAAAATAAAAACATGACTGGAGCACAGCTTAGAACATTAAAAACAATCTAGGAAATTGAAAATGTGAAGGAGAAAGTTCACAAATTACATGAATCTTGACGGGATTATGATGCAAAGATTTGAATATAAATTATTCTGTTGTCTACTGATGTTAAATGTCATAGGGTGTCCTCTGTGCTGTACCAAGTAAAAACAGGCCCCTGTAAAGCTGACACATTTCCTGTTTGTGTATTTTACGCCAAGTAATTCTGACCTCATGTGGAGGTGCAATAAAGTGCAGTTTATATCAATCTCCCGTCAACTTCTTTGACTTTCAACACTGTGGCTGTGACTTCCATTGTACTTCTAAGTGTCCTTAGTGTCTGTTAGTTTTCTGGCATTACAACAACCACTTTAATTATGGTTGCTGTCAGATATGAGTGACAAACATATTTCCCTGTGTCATGGTTTTTACTTTACAAAGCCAGAGCCATGGAATATTCCCCACACCACAACTTGATTCCGTTTCATTAATGTTTGAAATCTGTTTTGCACGTTTGTGCCTGTGTCGCTGTGTTTACCAAAGTAAGCGCTGCATTTAGGTTAGACGCACTCTACAAGTCAAACAGACCCGACCATGTGCAGTTGTCACTGTGGGACACCTGACTGAAACATCCTGATGAAAAATAGATCTGACTTGTTCAATACACCACCTTTAACCAAATCTATGTAGATGGAATGGAATAAGATGCAAATAGGTGCAGGTGTGGGTCATTTGTTTCCTTCAGGCTGAGTAATTGTATATAATATATATTTTTATAAAAGTAATGTTGGTTACAAATTAGAAGTTGTGCCTACAATCCACTGCCTACAATCCACTGCCTGGTTGAAGTTGAGTCACCATACAAGACAATCCTTCTATAGTTGATATAGTCTATAGTTGATACTCTCTTGCGCCAATAAAAGAAAGTTTATTACACCTAAGCTTGAAATGTTCATCTTTAAGAAATGTCTGTCATGAAGTACAGATAACTAGATCTGTTTAAACAGTTTATCCTCTGAATGTAAAATTAGAATTTCATTATGCCGTGTCTCATAGTTGAAATCATAGACCATATATAAGTAAAGGACCAGCCACCTTTTCTCTAAATGGGATTGTAATTTTACAGATTAACACCATGTTGTAGTTAAGGTTATCCAGGTAACACAAATCTGGAAACCAAACTTGTCAGAAAGGTGATAGAAATTTAATAGGAAGTGTATACGTGTACTTACGGTGTAACTTCTGAAACCAGAGAAGCACTTCTGTTTTGTTTAGATTTTTTTCTTGTAACCAGAAACCACTGTCCTTTACCTATATGTGATGTATGGTTGAAACTGTAAACTTCACGCTGCTAAATAATGTAGATGAGCTACCCCAACTAGGAATGACCAGAGCACATGCAGTATGAGTAGTTGTCAAAGTTGGACCTTTATTTGAGAAAACTGTCTCCTAAATTCATTTACAGTTAAGAAATACATAAACATGGTCCCCAAAATATTTATTTTGTTGTGTTGTGTTGATGTTTTTAATTTTGCCCAAAGAAAATAAAAGCTCACTAGATATCTAAAATCGTGGTACAAATTAGTACTTTGTGTACAACGGGTAGAATTGCCATCAAGACTTGAAATATACAACATACAGAGGTTTATAGAAGTACAAGCAATGTAATTGAGTAATGAATGCACTTACGTACTGTTTAGAGGTGTTCTAATGACAGAAGAGGTC